AGGCCTCGGGGGCAGCAGTTCCCACAGCTCCGGCTCGGCCGAGGAGCAGCAGCAGCAGCAAACGGGCGGCCTCTTCCCGCAGCAGGAACCATTGCGGCCTCCGAAGACGGCGCCGCTGGGCACCGGAATCGCAGGTACGGGCCGCCGCGCAGCGGCCCCTTCGCCGCCCCCCTCCGGAGGCCCCCGGTGTTGAAGATGTCGGGGAGGAACCTCCTGAAACCTGCCGTGCTCCGCTCGCTTGCCCGCACCGCGCTGCTCCTGCTTCGGCTGTCGCTCTGACTCCCTGCGGCCCCCCTCCCCCTTTCCCCCGGCTTCGCCGTGCTCCCACTGAGACTGGAGGCGTGGGGCTTCCCCCCACCTGCCTCTGGCCTGGCCACGGGGACGCGTTCTTTCTCCCAACCCCGCACCTAGGGGCAGAGAGGTTACCGCGGCCTGAAGGCCACACTCTGCGCACCCCGGGCACCTGCCTGTCTCCTCGGCACTGCACAGACACGAGTCGCGCAGGGGCACCTGCACCTTTCCTCGGAAGAGTGGCCGTGTTTCTGGGTTATGGGTCTGTGGCCAGGTAAAGGTGTGATCTTGTATTGCAGCGGCTCGCAGCACCTCTCCGTCCGTTCCCCCCTTTCTCTGCCCTCACGTATGTGTGTGCGTTTTATCCATCTGTTAATCTGACCGCAGATGGTCTCAGCCTTCCCCTTGTTGAAGAACTCCAGCCTGAAGGTTTGACAAAAAATAAATACAAAGCATTGTTTGTTGGTTAGCTTTTGCAGGTAGGTATCAGTTTCTTTTTTCAACGAACTTGGGAACTAATCTATAAGAATACATTTGGAAAATGTGGAAAGTTTTAAAAACACTGTTTCATTGAATTTTTTGGCAGATGGCATACAACAACAATGATAGTTAAGCGTTTTTGTGGATTATGTTAAAAATTAGTGTTGTTGAAAATTAGTGATCTCTTCCATTTATTGACCTTCAAAGTCTTGAGTTTGTATCTGAAATCTATGAAAAACCCACAAGATGACTAAGTGTACAGTAAGCAGATTTACTCATTTCTCAGGTTAGGTCTTTTAGAAAACACATTTTGATGGGAGAAGAGAGCTCTTTTTTCCTTCCTCTCCCTTTCTTATGGTCACATTCACTTGAACGTTGTGTTTTCTTTCTGTCATGTAGAAGGACCTCTAGAGTTTGCTCAAGTGAGAACTTTATCCATGAACAATAAAGATAATATATTTGAAGTAAACTTGAAAGTGTATTTATAGTAAACATATATTTAAAGTAAAAAAAAAAAACTGTGTGTACGCTGTGCGAATACATACCAGTTTAGCAATTTCTAAGAAAAGCTGTTAACAAAATCTTTTCAGACCATGTGCAACAGACAGGAATTTCATCTGGATCACAAGATAAAGTTTCAGTTCCTGATTCTGGACAAGAAATGGCTGAACCTCAGGTGGCTGTGGCTCCTGTAGTAACATCAAGGTTGTCTGTTAAAGCACCTGAGTTTTATCCATCAGGATACAACCAGAACTTCAATCAGAACTTCACAGTGAGTGTTTATGTTCTCTTTTTGGTATATGCTAATTTACTTATATTCAAATTAGCAATGCTTCCTTGAGCTCTTGTATATGAGGTACCTTGAATGCTGCATTTGCTGAAGAGATACCAAAAATTCTGATGGTAACCTCCAGAGTCACAATCAGAATGTTAAGTGATAATGGGTGAATATTAAGGTCTACCTGAGTGCCTTTAGCATGGGATATTTTGCTAAAGCTTGCTGCAGATAACCATATTCATTGTTGATTACACCCAACATCACAGTAAGCTGTCTTTTTGACGACTGTCTCTGTTGTAGCTATACCTACACTGCATTTTAAGTAAAGGCTTAGTTGCACTTTTATGCAGATTTCACAGGTTTTTGAAGCAAGTGTGGGAGAGAGGTTGAATTTCATAGCTTTTCTGAGCACAGTATTTACCTTTCCCAGGTTTACTGTGTCATGGTATAATTGGTCATGACTGCCTAACAATGAACAGTCATGTGTCTAAATTCGTTCAGTAGTGGTGTATCATCAGAAGGTAAAATAAGTAGGGTGAGGATCATTCCTCACAGTTACCTACCCACACACCTAATACAAAACATATTTGCAGCCAAACTAAGGATGATCTCAGATAAATATTGTAGATGCATCATGTAATAGAAGTTGGTACTTCTTATCTTGTACTCCATTGTCTTCTATGTTATTGCTTCAGTAATTCTACTCCAGGGAAGATCTGTGAATTCTTGGAATATCCTTTTGTTATGCAAGCAGCCAAACTCTGGTACTATATATAAACAGGTGGGAACTATTACTTTTACAGGTACCATCAAGTGATAAAAAACAATTATACTGAAACAAAAAAGTTTTTGATAACTTATAGAAAAAACTTGATTTGAATGCTAAATATGGTGGTTTGGTGTTCTGAAGTCTTTTCCTCACCAGTAAAATTGATGTAATCTTAATGTTACCAGCTTACTGAATAGAATTGCTCTTCTGGATAATAAAAGCCCATAACCAACTGTTAACAAAATGGCAACATGAACATGCTTCAGTGAATGGATGACCTTTGGGAAAAATAACTACTTTGCCCCAGTACATACTTTCTATAAATGAAGGATTTCAATTTCAAGACCAAAAAAACCCACCATTTGGAATGGCATGCCTAATGCATACCTGTAATTACAAAGTTTTGAGGCCAGTAATGTTGCTTTTCAGCTGTTTTGCAAAATCTCACAAGCATGTGGGAGTTCCTGGTTGCTATGGTATAGAAGTATACTCTGAATGTGACTCATCTATTAATAAAAATACCTCTTAAAATGCTAGCAAAACCTAGGACACTTGTTTGGAAGTATGTTGCAGGGACATTAATTTCATCAGATCATACTGGAACAGTGGTGTTTCCAACTTTCCTGCTTCCACTACAATGAAGTTTGGTGTTTGTTACTTTAATGACTGGAATAATTTCATAAACTGGGCTCACTTGCAATCATAGAATGGTTTGGGTTGGGAGGGACCTTAAAGACCATCTAGTTGTAACCCCCCTGCCATGGGCAGGGACACCTTCCGCTAGACCAGGTTGCCCAAAGCCCCGTCCAGCCTGGCCTTGGACATTGCCGGGGG